CTGGAGAGAGGATGAAAGGCACCCAAGCGTCAAGGACTCTCCTTCATAGGGTCGATATGAGTCGCCTGCGACTCAATGGCACTTAACAGCAGGCCGTTTTTACTATAAACAACAGAGAATATATAAAATTCAACTTTTTAACAGGCCAGCTTAGAGCCTCTCTCTTTAAACTGCAAATGGTACTTGCTTGTTTTGGAAGGTGGAATAATCAAAAAAGATTAACAACTACTACAGGAAATGAAGGTGTTCTCGTGGTCAAGTAGGTAAAAAGTTATGCTGTTAACCACCAAAGCAGGTAGCTGTTCTGGGGGAAAATATGGGCAGTCTCTTTCTCAGGAATTTACAGCCTCTGAAAATCTGTTGGAAGATCAGTTACAAGTTGATTCTGACTAAATAACACATAATAACATACAAGGATGACCTGATGATTTGTAATAGGAAAAACAAATCAACATTTAATTAATATTGATAAAATCTAACAGTTGAATTGTAAATCATAGAAAAAACATCAAGATATTTTAGCTACAGGACCCTGTAAACTAAAGCATTATAGGTATCTGAAGACGTCATTCACATCTTCAGTAATGTACAAATATTAGTAAATGTTTTTTCAACATGCCACTTTTTCATACACTGCACACTTGAAGACTTTAAACTCTCAATAGGCCAGTCTCTTCAAACCTAAACTCGCTTCCTAGACCTCTCCAAAATAGTGAGGAAAATAATGAAAATTCAAAAACCTGTTAAGAGATAAGGAAGCTCTGAAGGGAATTGTGTTAACCTAAAGATCATGTCTCCCTGGTGATTAGCATCCACCACTGGTTCTGAAGCATAAGAGACAATCTTCTGTGCAATTTACAGCCCAGGAAAATCTTACTGGAGGGACACTATGAGTCAGTTTCTACTCGCTTGTAATGAGTTGAGTGTAAGATAAGGTATATGTTCATATAATCATTTCTGGGATTAATAAACATTCTAGTGCATATGTGTTCATTACAATGGAAATTAAGTAATAAAAGTTGAAAAGTTACTTGCTATAGGGTCCTCCACTCCCTCCATAATCATAGGACTGCTGGGACTGGTCATCGATGCTGTAACTTGTCTGGTAGAAATCCGTGTTGAGATTATCAAAGCCTGACATTGTAAAGTATCTGTAACAGAAGAAAAATGACAAATCACTATATCCAGGGTTCACTAAATTAGTTCCCCACATTCCGGGATAACACAAAACGGTCAACACTTTGCTTAAATTAATAATCCCAAGAGACAGTGAATGCTTCTTAAGGAATTTTAGGGTGCAGCATTTCCAACACGGGCCTCCAGGAAAAAAGAGAGGTGCCAAACAAAAGTCTCCTCTCTTCAGTCAAAGCTCTGGGACAACTCTACTTTAAGCGGCTGATAGTGGTGATACTAGGCACAGTATTAAGAGAAGAATGGTTCCAGGGACGGAGATGGGTTCTGAATTACCAGCATCATTGTTTATCAACTTTTCATGTTTGACGGAGCTGTAACAGTGACAGCGTGGCTGACACCTTTTAAGATTCAGAGGCTTCCAGTAAATTGTAGAACGCGGGAAAACAGTGCTTAAAGGGTAGGCGTTGCATGAGAACAAGGGCCGAAAAGTGAAAGAGTGAGGGGAAAAGGACCACTGCGCGGTGCCGAAAGACCGCGACAAACTGCACAGCGAGGTAGGGACAGAAACCTAACAGTACGCCACCAATCTATGACACTTACCAAGTGCGGCGGCCACGACAGCTGTCACTCCAGCCCCTATACCAGCAAATTCCAACACAAAAAAATGTTTCTGGCCATCAACTAGCCCCGTTGCTACGTGTCACAGGGCCAGAGGACTGCTTCCGGGCTACGTCCGCTTGCACAGCAGAGGGGCAAACTTTGAACTTCTCTTTGATTGGATGCAGGCTGAGCATGCGCAACATGAGCAAACACCGGAGCGGGTTCAGGGAATTGCTTCCGGGAGCCCTCTTAAAGGTGGAGGCAGGTATAAGCGGGTGTGGCTACTACTAGCAGTGAGGTCATAGTCCTGAGCAGAGGCGAATGAGGGAGGAATGCTAAATCGGGTGCAATGAAAACAACAGAGCTCTTCCTCTCTACTCCTTAAGTGATAGTCTGAGTCTCTCTGATCTTATGATAATTGAAGCTCTAAAATCAAGTGGCTTTTATCTGGCACATTATTTATCCTCACGACATAATTGAATAGCTGCATTTTAGGCTCTGGTGGCCTAGGGGCAAGAAGCTGCACCACAATCTCGAAATCTCAGAAGTCACACAGTTCTAAGCCACCAGCTGCTCCTTAGAAGTAGAATGGGCAATTTCCTCCTGTGCAATTAATTACCTCTGGAAATCCACTGGAGGGTAAGCTATGGGTAGGATCAGACTCTATGGTACACAACAACAACATTGCTCTCCTTATGTAGTTCAGCCTATTAAACCTTTGCATGGCTTTTGAAATGACCATCTTATCAAAAGAACATGCTACATACAACAGTTGTCTCCTGCTCACATATTGCTCGTTGTAATCAAACATAAGATGTAAAAACACAAAATTGTTAATAGCACTACTTGTTGGTATGTGCAATCAAGTCCCTTGAGACTCATATCAAATCTATGTACAATAGCCGTGAAACTTGCTCTATCCTTTGTTAACTTTACTGTCTCTAAAACACCTACACATTATTCAGTCACTGAATCAATCTCATTTATAGTCTTCCTCTCTTTCTCTATCCCTTCACCCTTTCAAGCATGAGGTCCTTCTCCAGGGACAGGTCCCTCCTTGCAACATGCCCAAAGTATGTCAGACGAAACCTCAGAATCCTTTCCTCCAAGGAGAAGTCTGGTTTCAGCCTCCCAGGACAAACCTGTTTGTTCTCGTAGCAGTTAATGGTATATTCAACACTCTTCTCCAGCACCACAGCTCAAAGTCATCAATTCTCTTTCTGTCATCCTTAATCATTGTTCAGTTCTCTGACGCATAGCAAGCAATTGTGAAGACTATGGCCTGGATCAGGCACACCTTAGTCTCCAGACTGATGTCATCCTTCCTCTTCAGTACTTTGGAGAGGTCCCTGACAGCCAACTTTCCTAATAGTACTACTTAAATTATCCGTATTTTTTTTAGAAGGTGTAATACCTAGAAATACCAAGAAAGAAGGGGAAAGGCTCAGGGAGGGGATGATCAGAAAAAAAGAGGAAAAATACTAAAACTTGCCAATTCGTTGCCCTTAAGTTAGCTCACCATCGTCTAGCGGCTTTTCAGAGGGATAAGTCGCTAGGAAGGGATTTTCTCATCTTTCTCCTGTAGTGGATTCAAATGCTTGCCTTTGGGTTAACCCCACTCTTTAAGGCACCGGCGCTCTCTTGATGAGTAAAGGAGCCTCTATGTGACTGTAAATTACAATGCTCTCTCCCATGATGGCATCTGAGAGCTGGACAATCTCTAAAAGATGACAGAAAAATAAATAATGGTCTCTGTTGTTTTTTTTTTCTTCAGTCTTCGTAATTTATTAATTATCTTTTTTTTCTATAATTATATTTT